ACTTCCTCGAAATTTATCGAAGCGTTAATAACTTTTCAATAAATTTTTAGATATTACGCGGTAATGCGACCGCTCCAGATATTGGACGTTCACAGAAGAGGAAAGATAACTCTGATTTTCGCGTGGGTGGGCGCCACGTTGTGTTCCTTTCCGCAGGTGCGCCAACTTGTGAATAATTTCTTACGATGCTTGCAGCCACGTTGAGTAATTCAGTCCGCGCTTAACTTTCCGCAGATATTAGTATTCCATCTCGAGGTGCGTCCCGGCTACACTTATGTCACACAGTGTACAACATTCAACACTTACCCGTCGCACGTGTACGAACTGTTGTACTTTTTGTTCGCAATAACGGCAGTATTCTGGTTCCCGTTGTGCATGATATTTTATACCTATATCAGAATATTCGTGGAGATCTCACGCAGATCCAAAGAAGGTATGATCGACGCAATTTTGTACCAAGAACGCTCAAAACTGTTAGAAAATTTATCTCACAGATTTATATTATTCTTCGACATAAAGATACACGGGAAAATAGTTCGGTTCTTCTAACTGAATAGGGATCAGGTGAAAATTCGACGACATATCCCTGTTACCGCAATTTAAAGCATTTATGTCTGAATATTGCTGTGAATAAGCTGTGTTGAAACTTGGTTGCAATAATTGACAGGAATCTTCTTGCCCCTTACCAATATTTTCACCTACTCTTATGAAATAACGAAAAGTTCAATCATGAAACTGATGGAATAACTCGTCTGTAATTCGGGGGTGAAACGGCCGATAAATTAATGCAGCTTTTCTTACAGATACAATACGCCGTTCATCGATCGACTTCCTAAGTCGAGCGCGAGTGCGCACTTTAAAAATGACAATAACCATTATCGTGGTTTTCATCATCTGCTGGACTCCTCACTCCGTACTAAGCTTCTGGTAAGTACTATTAATTCTGTCGGACTCATTACGCGATACTTCGACAATCGTGCGAGTACGATGTCTTGACGTACGAAACAGTGTGGTAATCGTCGAATGTGGGCTTATAATGTGAAAGATGAAACAAATATCGCCGATACGACCAACATTCGCGGTCGTGATCGATACGGATGTCGTGTGAATCACGTCTTGTAGCAAAAGAAAATGATTACATCCCGGATTAAGTTGAACATCGAACTGTACAAATATTACATTGTTGCACGCATGCAAAACAGGTATTGCATTGATCAATCGTCATTCCGGAAAATCGACCAACGCATTCTGAAGGCTCTCTTTTTATTTACGTGCACAAACCCCTGCATGAATCCCATCATCTACGGCATCTTCAATAGACAAGAAAGGAACAAGGTGAGTATTTTTTCACCATAGACAGCATCGCGCTTGTCGATGCGTAATTTCTTAACGCAGCTTCTCACCGACAAAGTCCGTTAATTTTACATTTTGTTTTTCCACAAGTGACTCTATTATAATGGACACTATTATAGATAACGTTGCATATCGATCTCATAGCAGATGTTAATATCAATAAAACATACGACTATGGTCTGAGCATGAAATAGAATCCGAGCCAAGACAAACTCATGTAATTGTCGTGCTAATCCCATTATTCACGCTTGATCTATCATTCATCATTGCTCAATACGATAACTGCACTATACGATAAATGTAACAAGAATCTTCATCTCACTGCATGAAACGAAGTGAAAACAAACCACTTACATTTGAAAAGAACAAAAAACAAAAGAATATTTACATTTTTCTGGCTCACTTTTAGTGTAGTGTCATTAAGAGTCGACATGTTTTTTACACTAATCACAACACATATTCGTTTCTTTTTTCCACTGACAAGTTAAAGTTAGCTAATACTCATTTTATCGCGTGTACCTACAGACAAATCTTCAATCCTCTCGCCCTTTGATGTCCATCAATGCAACTGTAGAACTTTTGGTTGCCGCATACGCCAGAGATTTCATCCTCACCGTTTTCTTAATAGCCTTGCCGGCTCTCTTTAACTCCCCGACTTCATTTAACAGACGTTCAATGTAACTATGCGTTCCTTACAACAACTAATAACACATTGTCAACAGCACGAATTACACTTCTACCGGGTACCCATATATATGTAGTCATTTGTTGCGATATCACAATATTGTTGCAAATATTGTAGTAAAAATAATAATAAAATTCTTTGATATGTAAAATCCCGGTCTGTATAGGATTATGAAGGAAATTATTATATATTTGGAAATGTTACACACGTTTGACGTTATACTGCAAAATATTGCAATTACTTGAATATTTTTCATATAGTATATCAGGTAGTTCATCAAATTGTCTATTTTCATAGTAATTTATACTAGAACACTGAAAAAAGAAATATAACTTCAACGTAATTTTTACTACATTATTTTCTCCGTACACCGAGTTTCCTCGCGCATATCATTTCTTCCATCTGTCATATAAATTTCTTCGTTCTAGACGCCGAAGTGAGCAGCCACCATCAAAGCCAGAATCACGCCGCTGTCCCTCTCGATCAGACTTCTCTATTGACGATGAACCCGACATTCGCCAAATCGAACGGATGCATTTAGACGAGCGAGCCAGCATGCAGATGACGCGACACCTCGTATATGCATCTTTCTCGCGGACATGATTCTTCCTTTCCTTAGTGATAATTGCGTGATTACGCATCAACTATACGTTACGCCGTAACGATCGTATCTTTGCAGATGCGAGGTACTGCGTTCATACCGTCCAAATGAAATGCAATGTAGCGCAATGTGCACAGGGCCAGTCGAAAAGTTCTTAGCTTTGTTCTGACGTACACTCAGTTGCTATACTATTCCCCAGATCGATAGTCACTAAAAAGTTTTGATCAGCCGTGTCTATTTCTATAGCTGATCGTTTTTCACGACTGTTGATTCATCCTGCAAGTGGGAATGTGTCAAAATAGAAGTGACATTTTGACAGCTTGACGTTTCATACATATTTTTATCAAAAGTTTATCCGCTCACATACAACGCGCAATCAGTAGAAGAAGAGTAAAAATATTAAAAAAAGATAAGTAAGAAATTTTTACTTTATTCGAATAAAGTAGAATGTTTATTAATAACGAATAATTTGAGAGCAAATCGCGTGAAAATATTAAAAACAGAGACCATTTGTGTCTGTCTGTGTATAAATTTATTATAATTTTGTATATTAACTTCTTACTTACCTTTTTTAACATTCTTATTCTTCTTGTACTGATTACGCATTACACGTGAGCGAATAAATTTCTGATAAAAATACGTACGAAACGTCAAGCTGTCAAAATGTCACTTCTATTTTGACACATTCCCGCTTGCAGGATGAATCAACAGTCATGAAAAACGATCAGCTAGAAACGGACACTTACTGATCAAAACTTTTTAGTGACTATCGATTTGGAGAATAGTATAGCATCAACGCAGCTAAGTATATTATGTCAGACTATATAAAGTTACGAGTTGTGTTAAAAAGCGGCTGTAATCAATCGAGCTACGCTGAGAAAAGAAGATCTCGACGATTCTTCCGAAAATTTGCCATGTTCGGTTGGAAAAACGCATTTATGTTATTTAGTTAATTATTCTCTCTCTCTCTCTCTCTCTCTCTCTCTCTCATCCTTAGACATATTTATTTCAAATAGCTAAAAAACTGAACTAATCGAATTACTTTATGCGTACGACGCTTTATGAATAACAAGCTTGTTACATACATAAATTAGGCTTGGCTGCGCGATATATTCGTAACGTCGTTTATTTAGGATAAATAATGAATAATCAAAGAGGCGTTCGCCGAGTCCCAGTCTTAGCATCCCGACACGGCTGGAACGCAGTTAACGACAAGGCCAAGATAACGATAAGAGTCGAAATGGGCCCTTTCGTTACGCGCGTTCGCAACGCGTACAGCAACGTGTTACAATGTAGATGAGAAGCACGGCACAATATAATCGGTCAAGAGGATTACGAGTTGATTCATGGTCTTCGCGGACGATTAGCAAACGCTACCGATCCCCATCGTTTTTAGCTTTTCCCATTTCCTACCATTTCTCGAAACATGTTGTACATCGTAAAGGAAACTAGTCTTCGCACAGCTTTGAAACTGGTGTGTATATGTGGGACCACTTCCTACACACGTGCAACTGGCACACCAGCGACATGAATTCAGTAAAAGTGTACAAGACGAGCATCAACGAAGTGCTGAGAAAAGAGGAATGCCCTGATAAACTAGTCGACATTGTTCTCCCGTCAGTACTTGAGACCGATTTATTTCCCGGTCATACAAAAATTCGACCCGCGACTCGACCAATCGGTACCACTTCCGACGAGGACGAGACGACTGAAGAGGCTGATGCATCTGCGGACCAGAACCGCAGTAGTCCGGAACCAGCCGTTTCGTCCATTAGCGGTAACCGTCCCAATCGTCATCGGCCCGGTCATAAGGAACCCTCCGACAAGAAGAAGCCGCATGGCTATCGCCCTGGACGTGATGATACCGATTCCCAGTTATTTCAACTCGCATCGTCCTGACCGCGACTATGCAGACCGTCGACTGGGTGTCTATTGCTTCTCGCAGGAAATGATTACCTGGTCCGACTTATTGTACAAGTGCACAGGCAAGTCAAACGTAACCCCGTTACGCCTTTTGTAAAACGTTTTAGCGATTTGAAAATGTTCAATTCATCTGCTAATAAAAATGAAGAAATCGTGAACAAAAAATTGCTTCTCTTTCTTTTCATTATTATCAGAAATATAATACAAATTAAGATAAAAGTTCCAAGATACGTACATGAACATTCTTATTATTCTGTGTGTCTTTAAATATTTAAACTTTTAATATGAAATATTTTATATATATTTTTTATGTTAAAAGTTTAAATATTTAAGGCCAAAACAAATATAAAAGAATATTCAGCATTTAGTGTCATTGGTACTTTTACCTTATTATCAAGTAGGCAAAAGAAGTTTTCTGATTTCTATGCAATTTTCAGAAACTGTGCCACAATCCGTATGGAACGAATTACCATCTCACCTGCAAGCGCAAGTTCAAGTGGGTGCTAGCAGCTTCGGGCAACCGCAAATGACACGACGGAGAATGAACGACTATTACTAAAATTCGTTTTCGGCGATCTATTCATGGCGCGAAAAACACATAAGTGAACAAGTAGCGCGGAGAGTTCCATAATTCTCTCGCAAATATCGAGAGCCGATTTATAGCCAATTTAAAGTCGCTATAATCAATCACGCCGAAATAGCGCTAGCTTAAGGAAATTGAACTCTAACTTCAATTCGAAGCAGAGAGAAATTTTGTATATTTTCATAAATTGTATAAATTGCATAACACAGATATTACACGTATGTAGTTGCAATATATCTCAATTAATATATACGTTAATATATATACTGTATTACGAATGTACTGTAATCTGAGATGTGTGTGTAATTTCTCACGATGATTTCCGAGCTGACTCTACCGCATTTATTAGGTACCGTTAAGGCTCAAAAAATTTTCGCAAATGTTACTTTTGTATTTTAATAATGGCACAACGAAATAAAACATTAGTCATATTAAATTTCTTTAACGGACGATTCGTTTCTATTCTATTCTATTATTTACACGCGATCTGTTGGAACGCGCAGAAACCTCCTCCCGAGACAAAATTTTGATTCAATATTCAAATATCATGTAAATATTGTTAAACTTGAGTAGTAGTACATTCTTAATTTTAACTAGGCTATCACCTTCTTTTCAGTAATTCTGTCAAACAGAACTATTAATAAATATATAATAAGTAATATAATATGTAATAAGTGGCTCACCTGAGAGCAGATGTCCACTCGCGTCCTGGCTTCCTCATCAGCATCCTGCTCCTGGCTACTTCGTCACACACAGGACAGTCCCTAGCACTGACACTCGCGTAAATACAACAATTACGATACAAGGAAAACGTATTAATTCCAACGCGATGCCAACCAGAATATGACCGAGAAACCGCAAAAAATTTGAATTGCTCGACGGGGCTTGCGTACGAATGTGACAATACGCATCAAGAGACAAACGTGCGACGTGGCGAAGTAAGCGCCGCATGTCGGCTTGCGAACAAACTGCCACGGACAGGGCGCGCAAGAATGCCAATCAACAATGTGGACAAAAATGCTTCGCCAATCACAAGCTGCCGTCGCCGATTAATCAATGCCAAGCGCACTCGCCTCCACCAATCGCGCAATTGTCATCGCCGGCCAATCAGTGACGAGAACATTTGCTGGCTGGGAAGTCGCAACAGTTAACTCTCTAGAGACATTTCCTCTCGGATGCCTTGCTGTTCTCGCGGGAACGAATTCCGTTCAACGAAGTAAAAGTACGTGCGAACGATTCCAAAGTAAAGAAAAAGGATTCGACGACGAGTTGTAAAGTCAAGAACAACACGATGATCATGCTGCTTTGACGAAGAGACCAGTAGGAGAAGCAACCAAGAGGTGTTTTCGACGACAACGCAAGCGCGCAAGAGTGAGGTATTAAATTCGAATTTATTTATGTTTCGCTCACAGAACACGCTGACGAATTTAACGAGTAACCTTTTAAGTTAATGATCCTTATCGAAATTGACGTTAACAGTCTTCTTACAATGCTTGTTCCCTTGCGGCTTTTACGATAATCGAGACGAAATTACGAAACTAATCGGTTGCCGTGGCAGGCCCTGTGCCAGCTGAATCCTGCCGACCCTTCGTTGGAAGGGCATCCCTCTCATCTCTCCTCACTCTCTTGCCCGCGCTCTAAACTCGAGATATCGGACTATCCGCTAAACGCGTGTTCACGCTAATACGAGTTAAATCGTGCGCGACATACATGTGTAGTATATTATATTGTTTTATATATAAATTACGACGTTCTAGCTAGAATAAATTATTAAAATCTACGCAGTAATTTCGAGAGAGGAAATATGAGAGAGAAAGAGGGGGAGGGAGGGAGGAAGGGAGAGAAGGGTGGAGAGACGGAGTCTCACTTATCTATCTATATACATTAGGGAAATGCACGAGTGCGACTCCGCGCGTCCACCGCAGACTCGAAACTTCGCTTTTGACGACGTAAAACGTCACCTCCTGTCGATTACGGTGAGAGACGCGGGTCTCGAGAACTTTCGCTCTATCTTCTAAAGTAAAATGCGTTCGCTGACGCGACGCGACGCAATGCGCGCGTTGTGGCAGTGGATCGCTCAAAACTCACTGATTAAGGCAGTTGGGCACGCCTCGAACGGAAAAAAAGAGGGGAAAAAATCGGGAATACATGTCCTTCGCGAGAAAGGACACTTCGCGGATCGATTGGCTGGGCTGCGGTCCAGCTGAGCGCTCTATTGCCTCGTTTACATCGGACGTTTGATATTAACTTATACAACAAAAATGCCGAAAATACAGTCTAAAAACGTTCCAAAGATGTGTGATATCACATATTTCTAAGATGTCTCTGAGATATATTTTGAACATTTTATAGAAAATAATAACCTTCTATTAAATAATTTTAATATTGACAATGCATGTCAACGACGATGTTTTCAATCGATACATCTTCTTGATGAGTATTATACTATAATACACCGTTATATAATACATATATTGTCGACATTGAGATTATTTATTAGAAAGTTACTATTTAGTTTCAATCATTCGATGTAAACTAAGCATATATGACACTCGGTCGGGAACAGTCTTCGTCTCGGTCGAATAAGCATTATCGTTATAATCGTCATCTTTTCTTTTCTATCTATCAAGGATTCACGACCGGAGTCGACTCCAGTGAACGATGATTCGGCGAACCGTTCCTCGACCTGCCCGACTACAAACTAACTTATTCAACACGATAACACCACCGCTCTTTGATGATGCGACAATATCATTGCGTGAAATTATTCGCCAGCGATAGCGTCTATATTTTTCTCTTCATTGATGTCTCGCGCTCCATCGATAGAGAGAAAGAGGGAGAATCTTTTTTGCGACTCGTTAAAAATTCAAACGACTCGATCGTTCAACAAATGATAACACGCGCGTGTTCAATTGATCGAAATTGAACGGCGATACGTGGGTGTTTGTAATCTCCATCGGCAGCAAGGGTAGTGGTGGATTCGCACCTCTACTCGCTACCGAAAAGTAATATTGTTGGAAAATAACGTACACGAGTATAAAAAAGGCTGAAGATCGGGTAAAAGTGCATTGCGCTTTTAGCGCTCCACCGTCCAAAAACTGGATGAGACAATTCGCTCGCCTAAAACTATGGTTAGATGATGAAGAAGATTCTACTGAAAAACGTAACTATAAAGTTAACAGCTCGACGATGACCGACCCTCGGTCGTGTGAGATATAACGTAACGCGGATTTCCATTTCGATAAAAAAAAGACGTTGTCCTCGTCGTCGTCGTCGTCGTCGTCGTTGTCGTTGTCGTCGTCGTCGTCGTCGTCGTCGCCGCTGCCGCTTGAGGCAAGCGCGTTATTGTGAATCGTCTACTGCGTCTACTCGCACAAATGTTTCCTTTGTCTTGTCCGAACGGTACTCAGACAGCTTGTCGACTCTACAAGATCGTCTCTTCCACGATCACGTGCTCGTCTCGCACTCGGAGAACACGCGTCTGTCTGCGTTACGAGCGGACTCACATTCTATGCAAACGACGAAACCGTCTGTCGCTCGACAATCGTTTGTTTGAATCTTACAAGGAAACTGAACTACGAATTTGCGACCCTGGAATGTCCTCGAGAAACGCGACTCCCCTCGCCGACGACGACGGCGACGACGTGGAAGAGACGCGTATAAATCGATATTCTTCGCAAGAGAACATCACCGAACGCATCAGCTGGTTATCGATTGTGTATCTTTCTCAACTAGCGTGATTTTTCGTAGAGAATGAGAAGTTTCGCGCAAACTTCACGATCATCAGCGATCGTGTGACCTTCCGAACGATGTGGAGCTCTTGAAATATTTCACGCTTCTAGGGAAAAACTGCACGATCGATAGCCTGACGCGAAGAGAAACTGTTCATCGAACGTCGATCGAATAATATCTAGTGGAAATGGAAGATGCATTAACGCGAACGCGGCTCGACCGGTAATCGTCGATTCATCGCGTGTGCTTTATTGCCTTACGGGAAGAACGAATCGTCGATTAAACCGGAAGAAGTGTAAGCTATATGCGAAGACTCGACGAAACCTCTTCACTCATTCTGGTCAGTATTGTAGCAAAGGACTTGGTTTGCTCGTCTTCTTGGAAAACCGAAGAAGGATTGCTTCGGCGATTATACTTCGTTAGGTCGCCGATTAGAAAGATCGAATTTTGTCGCGTTCGACGTTCGATATTCTGTCGATTCTATCGATTATATCGATGATACGGATGATATAGCGTCGCTTCGTATCGACGACTTTTCTCGGATTTTCGTCCAAACGACCAAGCACCTTAGCGTTGTTTCTTCATTTTCGCATCGCGATCGACGCTGTCGATGGGCGAGGTGCTGGACGTAACCTCGGGTCACCAGGCCTCCGTGTATCGAACGTCGAATTCCTGCAGAGCCGGCAATCGCTTCTTCAGCGACTCGAACGTCTGCGCCGACAGCTTCGTGCTGTTCAGATTCAATTTTCTTAGGCTGGTTAATGCTGAAACATAATCGTCTCGTTATCGACACGCAAGTACTTACGAAGAAGCCAAGTTGAACAATCAATTCAAACTTAAAGTCAAAAATACTACACAATGCTTTGTATCTTTCTTTTGTACTCTGCGCACCGCGATATTCTTCTGCACGTTTGCTTGCGCATTATGTTTCTCGGGGAAACGTCGAGATACTCACAGGCCAATGTGGAGATGCCTTTGTCGGACACGGGCGTCTCGCAGAGATTCAAGACCTGCAGCTTCTGCAGGTGCTCACTGATCATCTGTAGGCCGGCGTCGCCGAATTGAGTGGCCCACAGGTTCAAGTACCTCAGCGCCGGTAACTTTATCAGCTGCTCCGCGCACGCGGACGTCACGGAAGTAAATGCCAAACTGAGGCACTCCAGGTTACCGAGGGCACGACCGCCCAGCAGAAGGGCAACGTCGGCGTCGGTTGCTCGTACTGGTAGCGTCAACTTGCGCGGTCCACCCTTTTGTTGCTGGCGAGAAATCAAACGCGTAAAATAATTTGCGTAGCGCTGTACAGTTCCTCGCAGCCGCTTATTTATCTCAAGAAAAACAAAAAAAGAACGAAAGAAAAAGATCGTACGCATTATCATTTGTTGATTTTGCATATTCTTGACTCTGAAACCTTAAACACGTGTAAAATTTAGCTAGATCCACTTTTCAAACCGTTCTCAGACACATGTCTTTCGTTTTCCTATTATAACTTTTCTTAAATTTATTCTGTCGCAAAAATATTAATAAATTCATATTCGTCGATGTTGTCTGTGCCAATTTAAAAGAAAAGAAAAGCATTGAATTTTGATCATTTTTACGGAAATTATAAGCAAATAAAACTGGAAGTTTTAGTGATTTTCAATGATTCATATGAAACATGAGTAAAATTTACTCATGTTTAGAGTTTACGTAACTTTCAGAATTCTAGAAATTAGTTGCTCAAATGTGCAAATTTTACTCTACACGTTTCTACTTCGTTTCATTTTTATTAAGCTTCTAGCTTTGTATTTATCGTGTCCCCTTCGGTACCGGTAGTCTGACAAAGCGTTGCTTTATCTTCTGACTGCATATTTACTGGGAAGTGGTTACCGATAGGAAGTTGTTAGACACTCACGACCATAACGGTCTTATCTGAACGGAACTCGCGCAAAACGCAGTACTCCGAGTTTTCTAACTGCAAAGCGAAACAGTCATCGTGGAAACAATACGTAAAAACGAAAGATTATTTCTAGCTGATAGCTGTTCGATTAATTATTAGGTGCAAGAGCGCTTAGGTATGTCTCGCCGCTTCGTTCGACTTGAATGATTAGCGAGTTTGCTTACCAGCTCTTGCAAATTTTTCTGCCTCTGGCAGAGTGCGGCATAACGCTCCTTTCCAGACTCCGTGGACTCGAGTGCGTTGACTATCTGGAGCCTCGCCTCCTCGTTCGCCAACAAACGCCACTCGAGCATCAAGCAGAGCGCCTCCTGCGCAGCGTCGCAGCCTCGCACCGCTAGCAAGATGCAATCGTCGCCCGCTTGTTTCAGCAGCGACGCGATAAATCTCTTTCGTCGGCAACAACACGCCAGCAGGGTTGTCAGCTGTTGGAAGAGAAAAATTCACATGTAGATTTTTCGTCTGACGTGTATCGTGACGTCTGAGCACATCCATTCGTGTGACTCGAACGAATTGTTTATGAGGGAAGATGTGACCGATTGACACGTAAAAATTTCTCAACGATGAAGTCGGACAATAAAGTTATCGCTGAGCGCGAACTAGCGATCGATCATAGAATTTGTTTGATACAAAACTCGCACGATATGTCCGTCGCGATGGACGGCGAACGCCTCCTGCGAATCATTCACTTTCCCACAATCAGCCGACAATCCTAATTAATTCCGCGCGCTGATTCAGTTCCACGGTTATACTAGAGATCGGAATGAATGCTGTCAATACTGACCCATTGAAGCTGCACTCGTCGCCTCGCAAGAGACCGTTCATGAATATTCAGATGGGTCTCCGATCGAATCGCGTGAGAATAATTCGCCGCCCGTGATGAATTGTTTCTGAACGACGGATTTTATTCCGGTTATTTTATCACACGAACGGGAGAGGCTGCGGACCCATTCGAGACGCCTGGCTCGCGTGATTGCAAGCACAATAATCGTTTCACATGTGAATAAATTCGGTCTCGTTGCGCCGATAAGCACGATAATAGCGTATCCGTCCGCGCGTATCCTCCACTCGATATTTATATCTTTGGCCAAGTGTGACCTAAATGCAGAGCGCGAACAATTTGAGCATGCGAAATTAGCGGAATAGATGTGTGAGTGATCCGGCCTTACACGTTTCTGCGTCGTATCTTTTACGACACAACTTGCGGTTTCCTAAAGATAGAGTATAGACAAATGTAGAAGATTTTTAAGTGTTACAAAATGGAAAATTGTGTGTTGTGAAAGTCCGTCGTTCTGTCAAACCAGATCGACGTGTGAGAGGCGACAGAGTTCGCGTGCAAAAGATCGAGCACGATATTCACCATCTCGCCGAACAGCTCTCCGCGATCCGGACAGGCTGGGCTGGACGGTGCGGCGATGTGGATCCAGCCTGGACGCGGTTCCCTGACGGGCAGCAGCACACGATGAACCGTACATCTCGGGTCTTTCGCCAATCGTTGCATCGCGCACATCAACACGGACTCTTGCACTTCCTTCATGGCCAAAGCCTCTTCCGGAAATGGAACAGGCTGCAACAGGGCACCAAGACCCGGACGCCAGTCGGCATACTCCGATCTGAAAGGACGTTTTTCGAGTTAATTTATTTCTCGCTACAATGGTCAGAGTTGTGCATCGAGATGGACAAAAACAAATTAAATTTATTTGTTGATGCACACAACTTACGCAACATTCAGAACGAGTAGATAACACTGTAACGGCGGCAGCAACGGCGATCTGTCCTCGTTCGACGATACGCGACTCGACACCTCGAATCTGCAAACAGAATCGCAAACAGACGTTGATGGTCTCCCTCGTCCGGATTGGATTCGTTTTATTGTAACTCGAGTGAAACTCACCTATGGAATATAGCTGCAACACATATGGACACCAGATTAGGAAGCACTCTCGGATGCGGACAATCGCTACCTGGCCCGTGAACCGACGAAATGTAGTCTCTGATCGCCTGTTCGCCATCATTGTTTTCGTATAAAGCAGCGACGAAAACCTACGCACACACGCGCAAAGCATATAATAACGTCTGACATAAAAACATTTTCAATGATTTATATGATGTGAAATAATTATTCGAACAGACTCTGCTAGTCACTGTCAAAAGTTATTATTCTTCCACAGCATAATTTCAATTTCGCATTCGCGAATTATTTTTTTCACTCTAGAAGTAATTATTATCTCTTGCATTTATGTGTCTAAGAATGAATAAACGAACAACAAGAAAGATTGCGTATCTCGCAAAGAAGAAATATATATCTTAGCAGTGACAAACTTATATCCACCTGCAGCAACTTCCTCATATCCGGCGATTTGCCAAAGTCAACGGTGTGCTTCAAGCATCTCGTGATCGCCGGACTGAGTGCGGGCACGAGTTGTGAACGCGGATGCTGCTGCGCCAGTCTGGCGAGTGCTCGCGCGAGTGCTGGCGGCGGCGCGGCCTTTTCCAGAAGAGGAGCCACCACGGACAACACGGCTTCCGCCCAGTTTCTGCGATCGCGGACAATCTCCTCGGTTTTGCCGTCCGAATCAGATTCCACGGCGGGTTCTTCCAGCAATTTGGCGACCGCCTCCAACGGGGCGCCTGCCACCCTCTCGTCCTGAAGCGGCGTCCACAGAGCAAAGTCCACCATGGTGCGCAATTCGCGTAATATCACCTCTTCTCGCGTGCTCATAGACACTAGGTGTTGGTACTTGAAGATGCTCTTCTGCGGGCGAGCAAGTCAACATTGAACAATTTGCAAACCCAATTGGCGGTTCTGGTTTGCATTTAATTAAAACCGACGACTCGATATTAAAATCGGTCAACATAATGTTTCCAACGAGAGATAATACAAGGTTGTTTTTCTTTGTAACAAATTCATATATTATATATTCAGATTGCATTGTCGTGTTTATACACAAACTGTTAATGCATTAGCGGACGATTTTCGTATTCAAATCGTTCAGCTCGTGCCTGAATGTCAAAGTTCTGACATCGTTCAACGCGCCGCTCCCGTCTGTGGAATTGGCGATCGAAACGAAGCCGCGTGTCTACCAGCGAATAAGGTCAACCTTGCGCGAGAGTCATCGACATCCAGTCGACAATGTACGAACGATGTTTTCATCGGAGACATAACACCTCGAACAATAAAATTCAATCAATCGTTATGGCCGGCCGGTCTCAACGTTGCGATTTACCCGTCGACGAGCTGATTAATTTCCAGACCGGATATTACACCGCTCACGACGACCGCTGTAAAATACTGACGTATCCGGAGAGATTTGATCCGGCCGTGTGCGCGATCGAGAACGTTCGCCTCGCGTCGTTATCACTTCCTCCTACTTTGGTTACTGTATAATGGAGCATTATGTATGTATTCATTGTACGTATAACACAACAACGGCTGTGTTTTTCTACATGAAAAAGAGATTTCGCTGCCGCAGCTCTAATTGTAGTTTGTTAAAAATATATTTGTTGTTACAACTAAGAATTTGCTTCTGTAATCAAAACTTTTGCTACTATTGCTACTACTATTGGTTTTACAACTAAATATATGCTGGACTACCGGCAGCTAGGCTTTTAAGTATCCATGTGTTACAGCGACATTTAGCCACCACATACAAATTCTTGCTGCCGTAATTAACTCTTTTCTCCGACTCACGTCACAGGTTTCGAATAAGATCGATATTAAAACATGTATATATATATATATATATATATATATATATATATATATATATATATAT